GCCAAATTATTGTTATATAGTTTAACCTTTGTTAACCCTTTTGATTTTGGATTTGATTTTGATTTCATTGCTATTCGAATATTAGAAGAATCTTATTATTCAGTCAACTTTGAACGTCCTATAGCAACCGAATTACAACCTTTAGTATCCCTTTCATTAGAACCCTCAAGAAAAAACATAATGAACGCAGACCAATTTAATGCCTTCATGACCTGGCTCACAGAATTTATCAATCAACTTACTCAGGAAGTCCAAAACAGACCTCCACATCAACCACCAAAAAGGGAAACTAATTTAGTCCCAGTAAAATGATTCTCAGGAAAAAGTGAAGAGGATCCATCTGATTGGATTGCCTATTTTGAGAAAGCTGCGAAAGCTAACAACTGGAATAATGAACGAATGGTTAAAATTGCTGGAGGATTCCTTGATCATATAGCCGCTGATTGGTATGAGGATATTACATTTGCTCACGGTTGAAAAGTTGCAGATGATAAAAATGGTGCTGAAACTTTTGTGTTTAAATTCGTAAACCATTTCTCTACGACTGAACAACAAAACAAATGGCATTATGAACTCAATGATATTCTTCAAAAAAGGGATGAAAAAGTAGAATCATACTCTAACCGATTTAAGAGATTAAGAAAAAAGGTAGATCCTGATAGTGATCTACCTGAACCATATGTCATTAGATTATTTCTAAAGGGATTGAAAAAGGATTTAGTACGATATATTGCTGCTAGTAAATCTATAGATATTAATAAAGCAATTTAAGAGGCTATCGACTATGAAGCTGGAGTTTATTTTGAAAGACAAGCTGAAAGACAAAAACGTCAAGTTGATCGAAAGGCTAGAGCTCCTAGTGATGATACTCTTGAAGCCTTAACCAAACAAATGGAAAAGTTAACTCTTAATTATGCTAATATAGTCTCAGCCTTTAATGTTCAAACCCAAATGAGACCTAAAGTCACAGGACAAAAACCAGATAAATCTCAAATCACTTGCTTTAATTGTTAAAAGAAAAGTTACTACTCTAGGGAATGTAATTTACCTCCTAAAAAGAGAAAGGATGCAAACATGGTTGAAGTTTATTCTAACCTTGATTCAGAAAATGAAGAAGAAAACTATGAAGAAGTTTATGCTACTCCAAGAGTAAGGGTTACTCCGTATACTATCAACAGGAGGAATGCCAAAGAAAGAAGTAAAAGGATGTCTGAATCTCAACAAGAAATGAGATTGAGAAATAGAAGTATAAGTAAACCAATTCCTTTTACTACGCCAATGAATATCGAGAAAGAAACTTCAACTTTAAAGGATAAGAAACCTCGAAGAAAAATACTACGCACCCCCTCTGCTGTCAACTAATTAGCTTCTTATAATGTCGCTGAAGATATTTTAAACTTACCTTCGTCTGCGAAACTTGGACAATGGTTAAAATATCCAGACTAAAGGAGAAACTTAGCTAATACTTTAAAAAGAGCTATCATTAAAGAAACCAATAATGTTGACTTTGATGACGAATATATGAGTGACAATGATAATACTTCTACAACTGCAGTCAGATGTACTATTCAAATTCACTATAGCAATGTGCAAGCTATTCTTGACTCTGGTGCAGCTATCAGTATTATTACAAGTAGTCTAGTCAAACGACTTAAATTGAAGATTGATGAACCATCAAAAATAATCATCAATACTGCTAACGGAAAAAGAACTAGAGCTTTAAGAAAGATCAATACCGTCAAAATGACTATTGGATCCATTCGTATACTGATAACTCTACAAGTCATTGAGTCTTCTGACAAAAACTTACTATTAGGAACTGATTGGTTTAAGAGAACTAAAGCCATTCTTGACTTTGACGAAAGAAAAGTGAAGTTCAGATATCTTACAAAATCTGCCTCTGTTCCAATCACTTTTTATGACAGTTCTTCTGTTGAATTAGACAAAGAATCTGATACATCTATGAATGAACTGATCGATGTAATTAAAGATCTAACTTATAATGACCAATATTGGAATGAAGACCTTGACAAACGAGATATCTTTTATTTTAATAGTGAAGAAGACTTATCTGATGAAGAAAGTTTATTTGATTTTGACGAAAATAAGCTATTTGCTAATCCTTGGGATAACAATCCAGCAGT